TGAGAAGGCGGTTAGGGTGGGTGCCAGGGCGATTTAACTACCTTCTGAAGATCTGCTTGGAGCCCTAGGGGAACTCACCGCCTGCCGCCGAGGTCACCGCCACCGAGTGCGGTAAGGTGGCCTGGTCGAGATATTGGAACGTCGCTTGGCGAATTCGACGGGCGGACGATGGGGCGGCACCGTGGTCGCCTCGCTGCGCCGAGGAGGTGAAACGACCCAAAGCGGTGATTTGCTGGAATTCGTGGTTCAGGAACGATGGATCAGGCCGCATGAACAGTGAAGTATTCACAAACGGTTGCGGCCAATGAGATGACGGCGCGCGTTTGTAGCCAAAAGATCAGACATCAGATGACATCAGAAGAGCACTACTCCGATGATTCTGTCACACACGTGGACATGGAGTTCACCAGCCGATCCAACGGTGTTCGAAACACCTACCAGTCAAGATGTCTTTTAGATGGGGATCCATATCAGCCACCGACATTGGTGATTGTGCCATCTACTCTCAATCCACTGTATTTGGAACATGGTCATCCAACAGGCCAATGTCTGTACTTCCTCTGGCGGTTTCAGGGTGTGTGGGCTAGGGAGGCATTGTAGGGTTTTTACTCTACACAAGGATCGAAACATATCTTCTTCGCTTCCCTGCGGCGGGGTTCAGCCACCATCCCAGGATGGCTATGGCTACTGGTGGGTGAGTGCCAATGGCTTTTCCTTCTTTCACAACGAAGGCGGTTTCCACGGCACGGGAGGGCCGGAGCTCGTATCGGGCGCGGTTTCCGGGCCGATCCCCACGTTCCGTGGATGTCTCGAGCGGCTTCCAGTGGGTCGCAGGGTCCTTCAAATGGATTCCTTGGCCGGGAGTTCAGTGCATCATGTAATTAAACCTTATATGCCCCATTGACCCCCAGTCAACCACCCCTGGCCGTGCCACTCGGCAGTCCGGTAGTCCCAGACAGGTTACTGTCTGGGTAAGGAACGAGTGGACAAAGGAACGACGCATTTTCCGAAACCGAGGGAGTCGGAACAGCTCCAACGGTGAGAGGTTTTTGGTGGCTCCAGGAAAAGCATTGGATTGCAGAGGTATTTTGAAGGCTGCGTGGCCAGTACGCCAATCTTTGATACGACAATTGGACCTGGGTGTGTTGAACCAGAGTTGAGCCACAAGCAGACTGAAAGCTACTAGGGACGTTCAAGGCCTCAAGGGTTTGAGATATGTTGAAGATGGAAATTTGTGCAAATTGAATTTTCATGAAATATCCAATGTGACACTGTGACACCTTCTGAGGGGCCAACAGTTGAGCATACGACAAGCCAACCAATTCGTAGAAAAACACAGACACGGCCACGGCCACGGCAACTATGTTTGATTGGTTGATTGATTGATTTGATTCTCAGGATGCTCAAAGACATCCTTTGAGCCAATGCAGAGAGAGAGAGAGAGGAAGTGCTTTTGTATGAAACATGCTGAAACCTGGACAGCGGATAGATCCCGCTTTAGACGCTAGAACCATGTCAACACGGTTTTTGAGCCTGGTCCAGGCGGGGCTGGCCAGCTTGTCGAGCCTTGGATCCTGTCGGTTGGGCGGAGAGAGGCGATCTTTCGGCTGGGTCGACGCCAAAAGCCTGCCATGATGCGAACATGTTGGTGGATCAAAAGCCAGCACTTCTTCAGAAGTCATAGTTTTTGGGGCAATCACTTGGCATCATCACTTGGAGGTTTGTGCAAGTCAAGTGGAATCTTATCGTGACCTCCACCCTTTGCAAAGCAAATCATGGAAGTTCAAGACCCTCTGGGGGTGGACACATGGATCTCCAGCCTAAAAAGAAGATACTGTAAATACAACGTCGCAGGATGTCGCAGGGCACATCCAGCCAGAAAACTATATGATAATGCTGTACCCGAACAAACACAGATGTTTCCTCATCCTCCCCAGCCACCTCCCAGTCAGTGCCCCCCCCAGCCAGCTCCTCTCAGGAGGCCTTGCTGTCGCTGATCTTGGCGCTGCTGGCCATCGACCTGGTCATCCAGTGGGTCTCCGAGACCCTCGGGACGCTTGGTTTCGAAGCGCCGGTCGGGCGGTCCACTGAGACGAGACCTTCTTCGGTGGAAGCGGGGTGCTTCCACAAAGGAAAGTGGAAAAAGGGAGGAGGAACAAGGTGTTCTTGAACATTTCCACGTGTGGGCGAACAGTTTGAAACCATGTTACAAGTTGAAATTGGTTTGGGTTCTAGCCGAGTCTAGTGGCCGAGTATAGCCGGAAGTGTTCAGATCAGTTGTTGAAGTGTTTCATGCGGCCAAGGAGCTCCCGCACCAAGCAGTACTAAGCCCTGGTGGTGATTTGTTTGGTTGAAACAAGTTACACTCTGACATCAAAAAGTGGACGTGCGGGATGACTCACACCCCTACAGAGATGGTTGAACAGTTGGTGCCACGTCCTCACCTATTTCGTGACAGAGAGGACGCCAAATCGACTCATCGACCGGTCACGCAGCATGGCCTCGACGTCGCTCGCGGTGCGAGCGGTACAAGCTTCAGCCGAAGAAGGCAGGATGGCTTTGGTATGCTTCGAGGATCGCTTGAAGCCAGTCCTTGGGGCGATCCCCGTTGTCTATGACCGAAATCACTGGGGTCATCCCCACCATGGTGGTGTATTGACACAGACTGTCAATGTTTGCATGATTGCACCAGAGTAGATGAGTAGATCGCTCAGCCCGAAAAAAAGAACCAGGTGGTGTCCGTCCTCGGAGGTGAAGTGAATGTTTGTCATGTTACTCCGAGCATGCTGTACTCCCAGTACTTGGTTTGGCTTAGGGTGTTCTTTTCTCTATGAGTGAATCCCCTTCCATCTCCGGAGTTTGTTTTATGTCCGGTTCCCTCAGCAAATCCAAGTGTGGGTGATGTTTGTTTCAGGCCTGCGGGTTTTTGGGCACATCAATTAATGAGATAGTTTTGACTTGATTCTTAGCTGGTCTGAAGAAAGCTAGCCGCCAACCGTGTCGAACCAAAGGCGTCATCAACCAACACCAGCAGAGGTTGAAGAAGCCTGTAGACTATCCTATAGGTACGTACTCCTGTAGGGTCCTATAAGGTCACTTAACCTCTGTAGGCATCCAGAATCCAGATCGAGACATTCGTTCAAGTTGGAGACCGCCCCATCCCATTGTTCGGCACCCCTCGCATTTAAGAAGCTTCTGGGCATCCCAGAAGCCTCCTGAGGACGGCTACAGCCAAGAAGCTCGGGGGCAGGAAGTTGGGTGAATGGCATGGGAAGGGAAGAGCTGCCACTGCGGCCTGGAATTAGCACGAGAAAATGCAACGAATTACTGTTGAAACTCATCTTCCGTGGTCAGCGTCGACGTTGGTTCTCAGGTCAGGTGTATAATTGGCCAGTGTCATTACTTTGCATGTGGCAAATGCGTAGTCTGAGCGCCGAGCTTTGAAGGATCCCAAGAATCCAAGTGGCTGATGGTCAGGCTTCCTCGGGCTGACATCCTGGGGGGGCCGACCAGCGAAAGGGCTAATGACGGTCCAAGGGGTCTTCTACAATCAGCTGGACTTAGGCAGTTTGTTCGTTGGCCTGTACCATGCACGACCACCGGCAGTCGTTGGATGGTATTCATTGGTATTCATTCTGATGGATTCCACCTTCACAAGACGGAAGCTCCAGCCATGCCTAGTAACCCAGATCCCACATAGATCCAATTAGATCCACAGATCATGCATAGAATCAGGAATAAAATGGAATAAATAAACAATAAGAAACATACACAAAGACAATCAATAAGTTTAAAGTAATGGCCATATAAATTACAGTCTTACAGTACTAATGACCTACGCCACCACAAACCACTCCAACTGATCGGTGTCCATAGGCCAACCCCATGGAGTATTTGAGTGACCGTTATGCACTCCTCCCGATTGGTGTTGACCTGCATCCATCGTGGGGTGTGACCCTAGCACGAAAAGGCACAGCACGTGAGGTCCCAGGAATACATAGACCATCATAGACCCATAGATGCATTGGTGGGTATTCTGCTCTTTCCTCGAGCTCGGCCACCGAGGAGGCTACATGTCTCCATCGTCCTCCTCTTGGGGACTCTTTGTACCGCTGACCTCGCTCTGGCTGTGGGCGCCGGGGGTGCGCGGGTCTCGCTGCCACTGGTGCTCTTTGCGGTGACCGAGTGTGGATATGCGACTGGGACCGGAACGGGGTTCGGAGGTCCTGGAGTTCTGGAGCCTCCGAAAAGGGTGGTTACACAATGTTACACATCTCAGGTGGGATGCTTTCTCAAGCATGCCTAGAAGAAGTTGCATGGTTGTCTGACCTAGTGCCAAGAACACTGAAACAGGATGACAATGGCCTTTGTTATATCAATTGAAGACATGCAACGCCAAGATGGAGCTTGACACGGGCAAGTCAAGTGGAAAATACCAAGGGCTTGTGACCCAAAGCGGAGTGAAACGATGAAGGAGCCAGGTGAGGTACAATTATTTGGAGCGTTGGCTGGTCAACATGCTTTGTATGGGCCTTTGATGGCCTATGAGCAAACGTTTCGCCACGGCCAGCGCAAAGCCGTTCCAGTGTTTGTCATAGCAAGAGTCACCGGCAGCAGTTTGCTTGAGAATCAGCATGGGTTAGGATCCGGTGGCGGTGTCCTATTTCCATCTATTTCCAGTGGCTTGAGGTATGCTACTGACAGGCTTTAAACTCGAACCCCGTTGCATAGCAATTCAGCGCCACTGCTAGATGTTTGGATGTAAACCGGATGCAACCTGGAAGGTGAACCTGATGCCTGACCAGAAAATGCAGACCCCTCCTGCAAGGCATCAGGTCGCCTTGCTGGCTCAGCCATAGGAGCACCCAGTTGCTGCAGTTTTCTATCAATGTCAGCCCTGCTGGGGGGGGACTCGATCGAGAAGAGCACCTCCTCCTTGCCCATCCTTCGAGGAACAACACCTAAACGCCTCGTTTCCAGGTCTTTCGAATGGTTCGCCCATGGCTGCACTTCGTGCTCATGAGCCTCGCTTTGGTCCTCTCCGTGCTCGTTTTGCTGCTGCTACCCTGCCAACGGCGCCTGGCCAAGGCGACGCAGACGCGCTGGCGTGTGCCATGGGCTGCGAAGCTGCTGCTGGCTGTGGGCTGTGGTCGCTTGGCTCTTGGGGTTTGCCTCTTCAAAGGACTGGATTTGAGTTGAACATACTGTAGTTGAACCATGAACCCAACAAGCTTGTGACCACCTGGGCCACCTGGGCCTGGAGAATCCCATTGGCGGTGGGACTAGGAAGAATCCAACCTCCCAAAGCCCTGTTCCTCGCTGTTCCTATCAGGACCGCATATTAGTCTTCCAAGAGGTTCCAAAGGTCCATGCCATATGCCATCCACTTCCATGTGTCTGAATTATTCCAAGACCTACAGAGGTCAAGTGACCTTATAGGACCCTACAGGGGTACCTATAGGATAGTCTATAGGGTTCTTCAACCTCTGCTGGGACACCTCCCCACATGGAGACCTCTACATCCTCGACCAGAATCCTTTGACCTCGGCCGAGGGCGGCAGCTTTGGTGCTACCGGCGCACCTCCGAGGGCGTCGGCGCCGATCTGCTCAGCCAGCTGGGCAGCGACGCCTGGGCCATGGCGCAGGGGAAGCTGCTGCCCTCGAAGAACCGCGAGGTCGGAAACGGGAGAAAGCGGGTGCTGCTGGGTGGGTGAGTGGATGAAGGTGGGTGAAGAGCGGAATGGCACCAATTCCATGACAAATTGTTCTTCAGTGGTTTTGGAGTCACTTGTTGAAGTCAATGACTTTGGTATACTGCAAATATTTGTACACCCTAGAATCCCTAGAAGTCCAAAGACTATATTTTGACCGACTGAAGTAAAGGAAATTCCTTTTCGGGTCACCTAAAGACCATTATTTTTATAGTCTTTGACTCCCAGGGTATACATATTTGTATGCCATTTTCATCTATGTTCTGTGCGGTGCCAGAATGTGCCAAAGGGGGGTTGGAAACGACTGGGAACTCGTACGATGCCTGATGCTTTGGGCGGCTTGGTTTGTGTATATCCAGTAGCCCTCGCCGAAAAAGGTCTTCTGGGCATACCTGCTTGGTTTGTCGGATGGTTAGATTGGGGATGGATAAACATGAACTAGCGGTCAGCCTCACAAGATTCAAGGAAAACCGCTGTTCCTCAAGGGTCAGCCACCCTTCCCAGCTCATTCCCTGCTGGTCACTCCAGCCAGCCACTTCATTGGTTCATATCCTTTGCAGCTTGGCTGGCTTGGCTCTGCCTCTGCAGGTACTGGGCTCCCACAGCACCACGTCGACCGGACTCTCAGCTGCACTTTCGAAGCCGATTTGGATGCGACATAACTGGCACCTTCGTCCAGACATTCGTGTGCCTCCAGACGCAAGGGGCGTCATTTGCATTAGCTAGAGTATTTTTGGGGAAGATGGCCATCAAAGCTGCTTTGCTTGTTGCTTTGGTGGTGCTGGTTTGATGATGGGCTGCTGCATGCTGCTGCTGTTTGCTGCTGGGATGCTTCTGTTGTTTCTGCTTCTGGTGTGCTGTTCTGCTCCCAGTCTAGTTGTACTTTGTCAACTCTTACCTGATAATTTTTGGACCTTATAACATCTTATAACTTATAACTATTCAATGTTTGAGAACATGTGCCTTGTCATGCCTTGTCTAACTATTCGGTTGTTTCTCTATATTTCTCAAGATTGCGATGTCTCAACTGCCACTACTTGGAGCTTGGCGGTTGGACGGACCACGGGCCTTCTTTAACTGCAACTGCCTCGGAAGTGCCAGTTGCAGTCAGACCACTCCACAGAGATCCGTCGTGGCCACTTCCTCGAACTGAGGTTTGTCTAGCTCCTTCCCACCACTCCTGATCTTCCACTGGGAAGCTGCGGCCGATGTCCTTTTGGAGGCAGTCTTCGACGTCTAACTCGCGACGTCGCCCCCCTATGCGGTTGAACATGAAACCACTGGAAGACTATATATAGTCTGGGCGTTTCCAGGGCGTAGGAGTTGGTTTTAGTGGAAGTCCGGGTGCACTCCGACTTCCGACATTGCCATGGGTTCGTGGAGTTCCCCCACTCTACTCGAGTTCGCTGTTTCTATTGGGAGCTGTTTAGTCATCCAAAGATCCAGGCCCTCAGGCCATCCACTTCCAAGACGCCTCGTGTGCCTTCCAAGACGCCTCCAAGACGCCTCGACCTCAAACATTAGAACGCCAAGGTCGTTCTTCCACGTTGACGCGACCTCGGAGGGTGTGTTTTGATGTGTTTTGATGGTGTACCTGGTACCTGTAGCACTGTAGCATCGACTGATCTCCTCCTGGAACTGTGTGGAACTGTGTGTTGTTCAATCGCTGGTCGGGCAAGGGTGGTGTTCATTTTTTGGGGGAGGAGGCTCGTTAGAACCAAGGCGGATGCGGTTCTAAATGGATTTGGTGACTCAAGACCCGGCTAAGCATCCTCAGAACTTCCTTCAGACGGAACAGACATTTTGTTTGAAATGTGCCAGTGGATGAGAGGTGATCCCCACATCCCTAATGTAGAATACTCTGTAGACTCTTGATTAAACCTCGAAGAGGATTTCCAATTGGACCCCAGGGTTTATGACATCAAGAGTCTCCATCGCGTTGGTGCGCGCCACACCGCCAACCGCGGTGCTGGCACGAAAACTCCGCAGGCGTCGCTGGCGGCGAACGCCACGCCCTTCCTTCATCAAACCTTGGCGCGGCCGGACGTGATCTCGGGCAGTGCGATCGCCGGGGTGCCGGTGATGCTGAAGACTGCCTGGGAGGCGCAGTCGGACTGGTCCAAGGAGGTTCTTGACTGTCACTGATCCGGTGGGTTTCCCCGTTTCGCCTGGGAGGTCTGGAAGGCCACATGCGAGGTCTGGAAGGGGACACGGGATGGGTCAAAAATAAAGTGCTTCCCGGTCGGTCAACCAAAGTGTGCGGGTTTTGACCCAGAGCCATGGTGTTCCATGATGTGGCACTTGCCTGTTCCACGATTTGGCTGACGTTTGCCATGTCGCTCCTGAGAGGTGTTATGTGGCGTGTCCCCCTCAGCGACGGCAGACTTCAGGGAGCAAGGCTCCAATCTGCGGCACCGGGGCTGATCAAGCGGATGGTGGGCGGATCAAGTGCTTGTCGGGGAATGCTTTGACCCTTAGGAGGCTACGGCTTCAGGCTTCAGGCAGATCAGCTGGACTATTACCTGTACTCCTCTATGGCCAACCGTTCCGTCTCGCAGCCGTTTCTTGGGCCGACCGACCGGCCGACCTGCCAGAAAGCCACATCTTGGGTTCATGTTGGATGTGAGGCAGTTGCGTCGTTAACGCCTGATCGATGACCCTGATGACCTGCAAAGGAGCCCAAGAAATCCCGGTTTGCGAAAGGTGGGTATACCAGATCATGCCAGATCCTACCGCACCCAGTATACTACATGTGGTGTTCGGGCTTTAGATTTATCCACATGTGGATGTGCACACTTGGCTCCACCTCGTCATTTTCACATGTTCACATGCTTTCAAGCACGACCTGCCTGCCATGCATTTTGCTCCGGCTTCGCGTTCTCAGAGGTCTCGAATGTTTCAGCCCTCCGAACGACGTTGCCATTCACAAGCATGGAAGCGGATGCAGACTATATATACTCCCTGCAAAGGAAGCATTCAACAAAAGGGCAGCTTGCACATCACTTGGCGTAACAACCCCCCCGAATCCTGAACAGAGACATGCTTTGTTGGAGATTAAGAGACCACGATAGCCATCACAGCGCTGCCTACCACCATGGCGGCAGGACGGAATGTGGGACGGCACAACGGTCCACAACATTACTGTAACTGATCTCAAACGAGAGGGGTGCGGCATGATGCCGCACGACTTAGGTTCGATGTCTCTGGTCCAGGGGAGTCCCCCTGTAGACAAAGAATTTGAATCATTCTCCCATGTGGAGATGTAGGACCATCCAGTGGGGGGTTTTACAAACACAGTAAACACAGTATATCACATGATATCACCAGTCTATATAGGAGTCTATATTAATGAACATCAAGTAGTAAACACAGTATATCACCAGATATCACCAGTCTACATTATTATGAAAATCACTTCAAGACACACTGCCTCCTTTTCGCAGGACATGGAGCAGCCTGACATCGAGAGCGCCCCTCCCGTGAGAGTCTTGACTCCGCTGGACTGCAGCGACTGGAAGCTCCGGGAAGAGAAGCAACGGCGGCTGTGCGGCTCGGCAGCACGGAAGGCGTTTGGCACGGAACGGCTCGGAGGTTGAAGCGGTTTTCAGCTGGAAAAGGGCGAGCGCAATGCGCCAGCAGCCTTCTGCAATCAACAAACTTGATTGGTCCATATTTAATGCATATTTGCAGATTTGGGGGGTGGTTCGGGGGATCAATGTAGGCATGATTCAAGACATGGGGTCATGGAGTGTTTGGGGATGCTTTGGGGTGCTGGGGAATGTTGGGGCCACTTGTAGCAGCATGTCAACAAAGCGGTGAAATAAGGTTGAATCTATCACCGTGAGTTGCAACGGAATCTGCAAGGGCCCAAGTCATAGCAGTAGGGCACGAGGGGTGGCGTTCTTGATGTCTTTGGTCTTTGGTGTTGCACATTGCACATCACAAGCGGGCCAGGTATTGAGAAGATCCAGCAATTTGAAGTGTGGCGAGAGGAGCCACAGAGACGTTATGTGACGTTGCTTCGCTTTGGCAAGGCCCCCCTTCACACCCCATACCCCACACATTGGGCGGCCTGAATATGCCCTTTCAAAGTCGCGATTGAATTCGAAACTTCCAGGAGTCACATGGAGTTGGGTGGTGTGGCTCGTCCCATCCAGTGAGTGGATGTGACAAGGGCACCCCGGCTTCCTCCATGGATCGCACCCCGTCTTGTGACTGCAGGTTGTGATTCTTTGCTTGGCATTTGTGACACTCATCAGTGGGATGTTGGTCGGTGCAACTCCCAGACTCCCAGACACGACTAATGGGACTGGTATATTTACATACATTGACCCCAGGTCAACCACCCCAACTGATCGGTTAATATGGCAGTCCCATTAGTCGTGTCTGGGATTGGTGGAGGACAACATCAGATCGGTGGGTTGAAACTTGTTCAACTCCTCTCATCCGCTGTTCTGATGAAAAAGGCGACCCAAATGATCCCTGGTTGTTTCAGCCGCCAGATCTGTTCGAACAGAAGCAGCAGGAGCAGCAGCAGAAGCGCGACAGCCTCGACGTGCAGAGGCGGGAGCGACTCAAAGAAGCTCAAAATGCCAAAGAGGAGGCGGCCGCCAAGCGCTCCCTTCAGGTGACATCGCCGGCTTTGTGGGGCTGGCAACTTTTTTTCGGACTGTGGAGGAATGACATGAGGACATGGACTTAATGTGAGGTTGATGGGTTGGCTCAGACAACATACCTCCGTGATTACTACCACAGAAGGCCTCCAACATGTCGTGCCCTTCTGGAGGAGAATCAATACTTATCCATCCTCAGGTCTCTGCAAGTTGGGAAGATGACCTACAAGCTATAGGCCGAGGCTTGCTATTTTGACGAGTCCGAACCTATTTGCGTTTCTAGATTCTGCCTGCTTGGTGCATCTTAATTGTGCTTTGGGCAGCTCAACTATGCTTTGGGGCAGGCTTTAGCAGCAAAGTGCTTGCTATATATATCCACTGCATTGGCCATATCCAATATCCAAGTCCCACATTTCTCACTCTGGAATCCGCTGCCATCGTTCGAACACCCTTTCCTTCTTTCCCACCGAGGCCATGATGCAGCGCCGGCTGCGGCAACTGGAGGCCGCGCAGCGCGCCGACGCGCGCCGCGCGGCGCTGCAGCAGCGCGAGGAGCTCCGGGAGCGACGCCTCGAGCGGCGGTCGACGCAGCTGGCGAAGCAACGGCAGCTGCAGTGGAACGGGATGGGACAGAAGGCAGGAAGGCTTTGAGGGGTGGAGTTCAAGCCAGGTTGGAGGGTGGGAGATCAAAAGGTCAGGGTTGGCCAACCATAAATCAAAACGATTTGGGCCTTCCAAGAGGTCAAGGTGTCACCAATGTGGACCCAGAAGTAGGGTAACACCGCAACAAATGCTGGTGCACGGCTGGTCCATTTCTTCAGATGTAATGTGTGACAATTAACCGATTGGAAACGGCAGGACCGTCCTCTTTTGGCCACTCTTGTTGACCACCAAAGGGGATTCATGGGATGACAGATAGGCACCTTGGATCGCGCTGCTAGCACCACCGGGGTGGCCAAAGAGTGCGATGCCTCGGACATGGACAGAATGGGTCGCAAAAAAGGAGGACTAATGGACCATCCGACCTGGTCTCCAAGAGACTTCGTGTAGACTCTGGATAGTACTCTGGATGAATAACCCTCCGCATCTGAATTGACAAGCCTCTTTACATGGGGGGGGTTATTAATCAAGAGTCTACATTAGTGACTTACACTGTGACTTACTGCACATCGGGGGTGTCACCAGCACCACGGATTCCGGGTGTCCATGGTCCTGGCAGAACGACTATATTTGTCATTATTTGTCCATATCAGGTGGTACAGAGTCTTGCCTTTCAACAGTTCCAACTATAGAAAAGGGGCCCCTGAAAAGGCGAGTTCAAAGTGTAAGTCCTTCCAAGCTCCTCTAAACCACGATATACTGACAAGGAACATGTTGTAGATGTCCTTCGCCCCAAGACACGGCTCAGCCCGCCAAAGTGCGCCGCCCACGTCCAGTCTCCAAGGCTCTCATCCTTGAAGTCCATCAATCGCTCCATGGACATCGAGCGCCAGCGCCGCAAGGAGTTGGCGGCTCGCGAGCTGCAGGAGGAGCATTTGAGGCGACGGACGGATGCAGTTGCAGCGGATCCAGGTCATTTCTTCCCTGGACAGTCCAGGAAATCAAGGAAAAAGGGTTGTCGAAGGCAATCGGTATAAGATAATTATATCATATTATATCCTTTGATTTCTCCACCAGTTTGGTTTATGCTGCCCGTGTCCACCTAGCAGTTTGGCATGCCAATCTCCTTCCAACGCCCAAGCCGGACGTTGTCGGTTGACTCAACGTCGGTCTCGTTGGGTCGGCACATTGACCAACAGATGGTATACGCTTTGGCTTCAGAAAGAACCATTTGTTGGAGCAACTCTGAATCAACACGATCTTGAATTCAGGAACTTGGAATCAACGATCAGTTGCATACGTAGCTGTTCTAGTTCATGGATTCCAACCCAGACCACACGAATGCGCCATATGCAACATCGGGGTGGTTGAGTGTGCGGTGTGCCCCATGGATCGGGTCGCCGCATCCCATCGGTTTTCGCTTCTTTGCCAGACTAGACCAAACTGATATGGCGCCATAACGCACCGGACACCCCGAGTTCCTCGGGGGCTTCGATTGATAGCCCCAGATGTTAAGGGGATTTAAGGGGTGTCCATTCACCAGCCCTTGTGGGTCCTGGTGTGGTTTTGTTAGTGGTGTTTTTGCACAAATGGCATTGTTTGATCTTTACTTCCAAAGGGTCGCAGATCCACCTGATCCTGGCCAGGCGCAAGGCAGAGCGTGCAGAGGCTTTGGCGTTCGAGAGGCAGAGGCTTTGGAAGGTCCGGCAACAGGAGCGGCAGGAGACCAAAGCAAGCTGTGAAGCGCTGAAGGAGGAGTTATTGCCACCCGGATGCGGTTCGAGCAGAGCACCCTGCGACTCATGTTCGCTGGGTTGCATGCCATAGTGGAAGCTGGAGGAATGTCGTCATGCCAAGCAGGGCCATCCAATTCCAAGTGATGCCCTTTGACTCTCTAACATGGAAGTGGACACTGACCCCTGGGAGGGTGATTTTCCTCCACAGACACGGTGGGAACTCCGCTTCCAAGTGAGTGAGTCACGGTTTGTGTTTTTTTCGTGGCTCAAGCCGCACCGGAAACCGGACATGAATGGCCACGATCAGGTCGTGCCTCTCCAAGCGATGATGTTTCCAAACAGGACCGAAGTGAACCCAGATGTGGCCGGATGTGGACACCCTAAAATGGTGTTTAAGGAATCATCGTTCGCCCCGCTTGCGCGGCTGGAAGTATGCCTTCTTTCCAGCACCACTTATGAGCCGCGTGAACTGTGTGTCGGTGTTGTGGGTGTGTTTTCCGCCCCGAGTCGCGTCTGTGAACTTCTTTGGTTGCGTCCTCTCAAGACACCTGTCTCTACAGCCTGTGCCCGACTGGGTGGCCATACTCGGATGCTTCTTGGGTTTCTTTTGCAACGCACTGCAAAATTATCATCTTAAATCTCACTTAGAGTCAAGGACCTAGGCTGCTGGCATTCCAAGTAACACGGAAGTCGACCAACTTGGACCCACTTGTCCGCTAGACGTCCGAGGGCGACCGTGTTCCACCGTGTTCCTTGCCATGTCTTGCCTCTCAAGTCCTCGGGGCCCTCAACTCAAGTCCTGCGGCGGAGCGCAACTCAAGACGAGTTCAGGAGTTCAGGAGTTCAGGGAGTCTCAACAGATCTCCTAAATCACGGCAGATGTAGGCAAGTACTGTACGTCAATTATTCCAAGTTGATGAGATTCGGCAAATGTGGTCGATTTCCCGAGGCGACTGCGGGCTCGAAACCCCACCCAGAGGGCACAAAGTGCGCCGGCCTTGCGAGCTGCGCGTGGCGTGGAGGAGCTCGCGTTGTGATGTACATAACCGGACTTTTTGATAATTTTTCAGCAATACAGTTGAGAGCAGGGAAAAAGAGTCACCACATGTTTAAGAAGATGGTGTTGCAGCTAAACTGGATATAGCTGCACCATTGCAAGCGGGTTGTATAGTTGTTAGACAGTGCAAGAGACATTGAGGGCGTTTTGGTTTGTTCTTGTTGGTGTGAGCAGCTCCCTCTCTATAGTGCCACCTGGCTCAGCTGAGTGCCAACTGGCTCGGCGGAAAGAAGCCGCCAGGCTCGGCCTTAACATGAGGCCGCCAGCAGTGCCAGGCTGCCTCATGAAGATGAGGGTCATTTTGGGACTGGAAAGGCATCCCGGAACATCTTGAAGCAGAAGAGCCCGCAAAACAATTGCTGCTGAGTGAGGTTATACAGCTATTGACGATTGGGAAATATGAAAGCGCGAGGAGGCTCAGGGACACGTTGCTTGATTGAGCGACCTTGCTTTCAGAACGGTATGGTATGAGAGGGGGCTGAACCAAAAGCGGTCTGGCCGCATGACCTCTCAACTCTCTTCAAGAATACGACGGAAATAGCAGGAAGTCCACTTCGGGCTCAAAGATTGAAACTGCTGGCTTAAACAAGCAGCTTCCCCAACTGGGTGGCTATTGGGTCATACATGATGATAAATTACATAAAAGAAAGGGTCCAACAACGCTTCCAGCCGCATTATTACCACCTTAATGATTGGATTGGATTGAACATGATTTGGCGATTCACCCGGAGCCCGGAGACCCTTGGTAGGTTGACCGTAGAGCGACTATGTAGTCCGTTCGGAATCACCAAGAAGTCCCCCGGTGCCATTCCCAGAAGAACCCATGGTCTTGCCACCATGGACACCGCAGGATCCCTCTGGGTCGAGCCGCGAGGTGAGAGCGATGGGATGGTGGCCGGTCATGGAGGTTTTTCCAGAATCATTGAACACCAGGAGCTCCAAAGAGCGTATTAGAAACGCCCAAAAGAAGGATCCTGTTCCCAAAGATGGCGTACATTGGGTCCGGGTGGTTTTTGGCTGGTGAATGTTGGTCATCATTGGCCGCCATGGATCGTTTAGGCCCAAACGCCCGCCAGGGCGACTGGCGGACACCGACAGGTCCACAGAACGCACGGAACCCCGCGCGCACTGAGGCGCGAGTGCTTGCCCCGCGCGTTGAAGCGGTGCTGCGGCTGCTGGGCCGTCATCGAGTCAGTCGACCCGACTCGACCCGGAAACATCCTGAAAGCATGTCCCAGACACGACCCATGGGACTGCCATGTATATGCCGCCCCAGACAGACCCCCCTGGCACCACCCCAAGTGATCGGCAGTCCTATGGCAGTCCCATGGAGTGTCTGGGTTTGCCCAAAAGGAAGGCGTAAAAGTCGACCTTCCTGGTAGTCCATCACGCCTGGACATAGGGAGTCACCCTGGACGAGCGATGGCTACGCAGCTTATGACCGACCTACTTCCTTGGATTAGCAAGTTTGGGAACCTATCTCGACATCCGAACGCCCTTCACGACACACCATCCTCGAAGTCATTTCCACCTGCCGAGAAACCGTTTCCAAATACTCCATGTATGTACGTATGCAAATACGTATATGTAATATGTTGGCGAACAGTTACAGCTATATAATGTAATATATTTATATATATATATATATAAGTTTATATATTATAAACATATATATATATATAATTGTGTACATATGTAATGTACCACATTGATCCCTGAATCCATCCCAGCGTTGGTCAATGATGCCAGGGAGATGGTAATGTTTATTTATGACCATTTCCCTTCCCAGGCTACCGATCCGTCTTGGCCAAGACGGATGCTGAGCTACCCGAGCTGCCCCGGAGGGTCTTCGGCTTCGAGGCGGGTGTCCGGAGCCAGACTGTGGGTGAGCATGTTCTTGGCCTACCTGGTTTTGTTTAAGGTGAATTGATGTATCCGAATTTTCTTGTTCTATATATACCAGGAGTCACACGTTGGGGTGGTGTTTAGTTCCATTTAGTGAGTGGATAATGGGAACCTCTGTCTCCCAAGTTCGGCACCCCGACATGTGACTCCTGGTCGTTTTGTTTCAGGTGAATGTTCATTTTCTTTGTGGGTGAATTGCCAGATATCCCCAGTTCCTGGGGAAAGCACGGAAGGATTGGCGTTTTTCTGCCCAAGTCGGGTCAGGTCAGCCCGAGCCCGCACCTACGTCCACCGCGGACCGTGGTGGGCATTCGGCGAAAATGACCCATGTCTGCTAGTGACCATCAACCAAGCCTAGGTAAGTGGCATCAACATACAGCTACAGTTGATGGTCCCTACATGTCTGCTGGATCTTACCACAGCCGGACTAACTGATTAACAGGCCATAGTGGAGGCGCTACCTGTGACCTCTAAGAGGGCAGAGCTACTTTCTCAGCATCCGTTAGACCAGGCAGTTCAAAAGTTGAACATCTCAGAACTGCGCTCCCTTGGCTGATTGTAGTGAGCAGATCGAACAATCTGGAGCTCCTAATTTCCGGGGGGGTAGTTTAATTTGCTCGAGTCAAAATGATACGGCATGCTTAATGATGCCCATTACATAATTAAGGACACAAGTAAAACGCATAAACGTTGTTTTTAAGCAAAAAACTTTAGAGCTAGCCGCGTGTGTGATGGCAAACCCTCACCCTTCAAAAGGGTCGCTTGTCCGGGCAACATTTGCCCCACATCGTGTTGTTTGATGATTGTTTTGCTTATTGGCCTCGCCCTGGGCCAAGCTTCAGCGCCTGTGCTGGACACGAAAAAAGATAGCGGCCAATTCAGATGCAAAATGCCTCCAGCTGCGGGACAGAACATCCATGATTTACTATACCAGTAAGAGTCTTTTGTGTCTTTAAGAGTCGGTAAACAATGATAACTGATCACTATTTTGGGGAACGGTTTTTACATCTCTTTACTAATTGTCACCCACTGTTCCTGGTAATGTTTCTAGCCCCAATCCATGCGCTTTCCATGGAACCAGTTCGTGTGCATGCGGCACGGCTGTGGTGTGGGTGATGTAGAGGCATTGAAGGACTTTTATGAACTATTGGCTTACCTGTGGAATGGAAGTTGCGCCCTGTGAATCACCCCGAATCGAATCAGCCACCGCAAGCACACACTCCATGTATGGAACATGTTCCGATCAGTTGGGGTGGTTGCAAAGGGGTTGCAAAGGGGTCTGTGATATATTTGTCCACCATTTACATCCTTGGGGAGCCCGTTGACCGCCCAGCTTGCAGCTTGGAGGCCACCATCGTGGAAAAAGACATGGAATCGCTGCTTCCCAAACTGCATGAGCACTTGAAGTCTTGGGATGCCTACAACGGCACGCCGGTCTTTGTGTGCCCCGAGTCGATGCCACAGCGATGCCGATCCGGTCGTTGTCTTTTTCCCCGCGTACATCGGGAAACTGGAAGACGAGTCGAACTGCTTCGCGATGCTGGGTGTTTCAATGCCGTTCGTGTGGGGTGGAATATAGAAGGGGTTGTGGTTGTGGTCGTGGTTGTGGTTGTGGTTGTTGTTGCTTGTTGTTGCTTGTTGTTGTTGTTGTTGTTGTTGTTGTTGTTGTTGTTGTTGTTGTT